CATGAGTTATCTGGCCAGTTCAAACTTGCTGAAGCGCCAGGTATGAGGGAGCCAGCAACCTGGTTTATGCGTGTCCGTCTTGAAGACAAGTCATGGCCCACGCAGGGCCTCAAGTTTCATCGAAGGCAAGTTCGGCTTGTGGGCAGATCTGAAGAAAACGTGCCGCCAAGGATGAGTGGCGTTGATGTCAGCTAAGTGCGATGGGCAATTGCACAGCGCTGCTATAAAAAGATGCGCTGTCAGGGGCTACTCTGTCAGATTTTGTTTGTGTGTGCCATGTCGAGGAATGAGAGGAAATTGAGACAAATGTTATTGTTCCCCACCTGTCAGGTGAGGGTTGCTAGATTTTATGTCAGCCCTATCTCCTCCTCCGCCGGACCTCAACCACAACCATCCACGCCCAGTGTTCCCTGCCGGACCTCAACCACGACCATCCACGCCCAGTGTTCCCTGCCGGACCTCAACCACGACCATCCACGCCCAGTGTTCCCTGCCGGACCTCGACCACGACCATCCACGCCCAGTGTTCCCTGCCGGACCTCGACCACAGCCCGCAACCACAAACACAGAACCACAAACGCACGACCGCAAACGCACAACCACAAACACAACCGCATACACAACAACAAACACAGAACTACAAACGCAACCAGAAACACACAACCACAAACACAACAACAAACACACAACCACAAACGCAGCAACAAACACACAACTACAAACGCAACCAGAAACACACAATCACAAACACACAACCATAAACACAACCGCAAACACATAACCACAAACGCACAACCACAAACAGAACAACAACCTGACAAGAGACAATCAGAAACACATAGCGAAAAACGCAACCACACACACAACGACAAACACAACCACAAACACACAACCTCAAACACACAACCACAGCACACAACCACAAACACTACCACAAACACTACCACAAACGCACAACCACAAACGCACAACCGCAAACACACAACCACAAACACAAACACAAACACACAACCACAAACTCACAACCACAAACACACAAACACAAACACACAACCACAAACACGATCAGAAACACACAATCGCAAACGCAATCCCAAACAAAACTACAAAGAGACTATAACGACAAGCGCAACCACAAGCACACAACTTCCAAGTTTCGGGCCCCGAAGCTCGCGCCCCGAACTGTGCACTACTATTGCTATCACTACCACTACCACTACTACTACTACTACTACCACTACTACTACTACGACTACCACGACTACTACCACTACTACTACTACTGCTACTACTACTACTACTACTCTACTACTACTGCTCAGGCCCCGGAAGTTTCCCAGGTTCGGGCCCCGAAGCTTGGGCCCCACTACTACTCCTACTACTACTACTACTACTACTACTACTACTACTACCACTACCACTACCACTACCACTACCACTACCACCACGACTACTACCAGTACCACTACTACTACTACTACCACTACTACTACCACCACTACCACCACTACTACTACCAGTACCACTACCACTAGTACTACCACTACTACTACTACCACTACTACTACTACTACTACTGCTCGGGCCCTGGAAGTTTCCCAGGTGAAATGATCTGAGTTGTATTATTAGTTGGGCACAGGTCTCCTGATGAAAGCATTCGCTTCGGACAAAACAGTAAGACTTGGCGCTGAAGGACTTGCGCTATGGGCTGAAAAACACAACGAGGGTGATGTCAACGTGGTTGTTTTGAAATGTCATGGTGAGGATCACTCTAAGTAAAGTAATTTTTTGCATACCCTAAATGAAACGAACTCAGGTATGAACAGCTTACACTTTGAAGCTCATACTTTTTCAGGAAAAATAGGAACAAGAAATTAAAAACATAGAGCTGGACATGGGAATAAAGACAAAAAAGAAAATAATGACAGTACACCGGGAATTGAAAAATGAGAAGGAAACAAGGAACAAAGGATAAACAATTCCTGTCAGTGTCAATAAGAAATGATAAATTGATATAATTCCTCGTGTGTTCCCTTTGAACAATGATCAATTCCTATCGTTTTCCTTTAAAAAAGATCAATTCTGTTGCTAAGTTTGCAAAAGAAAATTAAAGGAATTAATCAAATGAAAGGAATTAGCCCTCTTTCAAGGGAAATAAAACGGTTGATGAAAGGAACGCGAAATGAGTTAATCAATTTTAAACAGAATATAAAAGGAATGCATTAAAACCATTTTGAAAGGAAAGTACAAGTGAATAATCACGTTTCATGCGAAAATGCAAAGCATGGGTCATTTTGCTCAAGGAGTTTCACTTTAAAATTGATTAGTTCATATGTTTTCCTCCAAAAAAAATTATTTCCTTTTATTATCCGTTTAAGAATGATCAATCCCTTTCATTCATCCTTTGAACATACTTATTTCCTTTCATTTTCCTTTTAATACCGATGATGCCCCTTCAGTTTTCCCTTTTAAACTGAGCCATTCCTTTCACTTCCCCTTCAAACATGAACACTTTCTGTTT